ACTAACAATACTGTTTTATATGAGTTCCCAATTTTGTTGACAATTCATTATGTCCTTTGAAGTCAAGAAATGCTGGATGTCTTCTATAGCAGATACAGCTTCTTTGTATGTTTGATCTTTGGCAGAGGTGCTCAAGATCATAGAGTCGTCTTCTTGATCCTCCGCTCTTCAGTATCTGCCTGATCTTGAGAAAGTCCCAGCTAGAAAGTGGTTCATCCCAATCGTCACCTGCATCATACACACACAGGTAAGTTGTCGTCACGTGACATATTCTTGTGGAGGCATGTAGAATCATGTAAACCTAGCTCATCAACAAGAGCTGTGAGCTCGCGTGCTTCATCGACATCATCGAAGGGATCTTCATTTGCTCCGAATCCGAGCAACAGATTCACCAGATATAATGCCGCACTTTTTAAAGCATTTACAATGTCTCTTCTTTAACTGAACCCCATCGTCTGCACCCATCGAATTGCTTTGAGAACATTTACAGACTTCGAAATATACAGCGCTGTTATCCGTGGTTGGTCAATTTTAGTGAGTACATAGCGTAAAAGCGCCTCATTCACCTCTATTCACGACATCTTTTTCTTGATAACACACTTGTACTAGACATATTTGATTCATACAGTTCAATAATACTATCCTTATTCTTTAGAATAGAATTTATCTGGGATCTACCACAGCCAAACTTTGCAGCCAAAGCTCTCGCTGCCATTCCAGGATTCTTCTTCGATGTCTCGATGACATCGTATTTCTCCTTGAGAGAGAGAGCTCTTCGAGGTGCTTTAGCAGCCTTAGATCTCGCAGCAGAACGCCCAGAAACAGACGAGGCCATTGTTACTACACACGTGGTCAGGCTAGTGGCTCACATGGCAACGAGCAACGCGCGTTGATGGTCCCATTCCTGCCTACCAGTCTAGGGACTTTGCTGATGGCAGTAAGCGGCAGTGAGCTCAGCTCTTTCAGTGTACCCTCGTACATTAGAGGCTACCATGCCTACCAAGATGTTTGGTATCCATTTACTGGAGAGGTATTACCTCTCGAAAGAGAACCGGACAATCCGCAAGACGTTCATGCAGTAGCAATCAAGAGAGCCGGTAGAATTGTTGGACATGTACCGTTTAACCTCGCTCCTACTGTATCGGCTTTCTTGAGAAGATCTAGAAACAAATGTCTGGCGGAAGTGAGAGGTTCTAAGGTGAATCGAGGTGGTGGCTACGGCCTAGATATTGTGAGTAGCTATCACTTTTTTGGACCGAAGGACACAAGCTCGAGACAATTTGTAAGAATCTACAAAGTAAAGAGTTGCTCTGTTACGCAATAAATCAGCAAACAAGATGGACATTACATCGAGAATGCAACTCAGTTATGATGTTTTTTATGATTTTGTGATTTGTGGGTGTGACCTTGTGGGTGCGGCTATGTGGCCGTTATAGCCGGGTTTTTTTCAACCGTTTGGGGAGAACGCGCAACTGGCCGTTATACGGAGTATCGAGGTGGCCGTTCTTCAGGGGTTTACATACAACGGAAGTCTACGTAAGTTTAATCGGGACCAGGGCTGTTGGCTGATATATATCGCAGATGGCCGTTGTTGAGGGGTGACCGTTATGAGGGGTTCCACTGTAGCTGAGGCCAAAGACAAAAGCAGTCTCGAACAGTAGTGTTCGGGATTCTGTCTGGGCATTTTACAATGCTCTTTTTTGCCCCCAAAAGCCACTTGCTGAGTCTGCATTGGCATTATCACTTATATAGTACGGTTACAAGTGGAAAAATCATTTCTTCAAAATGAGGGGATATAGGGAGAACAAGGGGTCATTTCATAGCTAAGACACACAAATCAACATCACACCATCCCTATAATTATCTTTGTCTGATCGTACTTCCCTATTAGTCAACAGGACAAAGATATAGGGATAGTGTCATGTAGATTTGTGTGTCTTAGCTGTGAAATGCCCCCTTGTCTAGGAGTCACTGAGATAGTGTAGCCAGGTATCTAGTAGCCATTGGCTGTTGAAATAAAAAATAAAGTGGTGAATGAGGGTTATGTCAAGTGCTTTTCACTTTGCTGTAGTAGTAACTAGTATTGAAAACACATGTCCAGAATAATGTCGACAAGGATGATTGAAAGTTTAATACAGGATAATGTTCTTCCAACAATGCTTCACAACAACAAAAGGATAGTTTTGCAGTATGCAGTGTATGGACAGAAATGGACAGTAACTTTATGGTTATCCAAATACACAATATACAGCTGAAATTAAACCTCCATAATTAACAGTGGCGAGGGTTATGCGCTTTCAAGTGCTTTTGATTATACAGAGCAAAACGAAGCTGGTTAAGCAGGGACACTGAAACATACTACAAAGCAGTAAGGAACACCAAAAGCCCGAACTAAACCAACAGTCGCGCTGCCCGTGCTGCTGAGTTAGCAGGAAATGGCGTCGTTTCAGTGTCTAGCAAAGATGATCGGTAGGGACTTGCGACCATGAAGAAACAATCGGTTGATGCCGTGCACACCTCTGTGGAACCTGGAGATGTTCAGTGAAAAATCATGGCTGCAACTTGTTCCGGTAAGGAGATATCAGGTCTGAAGAAGAAGAAGATGATGAAGAATATGACGATTATGATGACACGAAAATCGGAATATCGTGTATGAGCGAATTCTCCTATGGAGATCTGATGGCACGTATCAAGTATTTGGGCATGTGTATAGCTAGATATTGGCGTATACTATTGGCTGTGATCTTAGCGACTCATTCTCGCCGAGTTCTGGGCGTTTTGTATGCGGATCACATGAGATTTGGCCCGTGCCATCCCTATATAGAGCGTCTACCATTGTCCTGCATTACGCCCATTAATTAGAGATTGTACATTTCACTTTCAGTTTCAATCAGATCCAAACCCATCTGCAATTCTTTTTTCATCATACAGATGACCTCATATAGCAAGTTCAAAGTTCGTCTGTTCCTAGTTTTACTAACTTCTGGCATATTGTTTCTTAAATTTTATAAGGATACTTGGAAAACTACTCCATTAGATCTTGGTGGAACTATTGATTTACGCGGAAGTGATGGATTCTCTAAGAGTCACTCTACGACTCTCAGCAAAGGAAATGTTTCTACAACTAGTCAAAGGAATGATGAAACAGTAACCGCTGCTGATCCTACTTTAAATTACTACAGTTCTCTATACATTGAGACAATCAAAACTACTCAAGAGACCTCACTAGATGTTGTTCACAAACTTTCAAATGTGGTGATCAGCAGGGGTCCTGATAGAACCACACACCACATCTACTCTGCCTATTACGATTCAAGACAGTTGTCTAACAGACCGGCCATTGTCATGTTTGGCTATGTTTCTAAACGAACTCACGATAAAATCCACTGCAAGTTCGTGTACGAAGACAACAGTACAAAGTGTGCTGGGAATCTGGTTCATACTCCACTCATTGCTCCAAATGTCTGGGCCTGAATCCTACTTCTGTACAATGCGTTCTGGTGAAAGGATCCCTACACATGTGCTTCTTAGTGGAAGTGGAGTGTGTGGAGGAGAATGGAGTTCTCCGATTCCAGTGTGGAACAGAGAGATTGGGGAGAGAGACAGCATTGGTGTGTGTGTCATGGGAGCTCTCTTTACTGGTGCAGAGCTAACCAATGAGAAGATATTTGATTTGATGGTTGATTTCCTAGCCATGGTAAAGGTCCTCGGTGCTAAGATTGTCACAATCTACAATGCCAATGTCAGGTACGAACTACTGGAGCAAATCATGAAGTTGTATCCTGGATTCATAGACATGATACAGTGGGAGAATCTTTACGGAAAGCTGCACTATGGTGGTCAGCGTGTTCTGCTGAATGACTGTCTGTACAGAAACATGAGGAGGGTGAAATATGTCGTGTTTAGCGATCTTGATGAGGTCATATACCCAGTTTCAAGTAACAATTGGATAGACATGTTAAACATTTTGGAGAAGAAGGGGAAATATGCCAGTTACACGTTTTCGAATAACTTTATAGCAGAACTTGCTCCTAATACTACAATCAATGGTAATAACTCCTGTCCATACATGAATTTGCGTAAGTATTTTGTGAGGCTGCGACGTTTGCCCTGGCCGGACTTTAAACAGAACACGAAAATGAAGATGATTGTCAAGCCAGAGGCACTGTCAGCTCTCTGCATTCACGATATATGCAAGCCAACTCTCAGAGGTTATACCAAGACTTATAGAGTACCTATGAATGTGGGACTAATGGCTCATTATCGTGTTCCCGTGCCAAAAATTGTACATCTATGGTGAAGGAGTCATTGACAATACAGCGCTGAAATATAGGGATCAGTTCATGGAGGAAATGCTACGAGTGTGCTCTCTCATAGAAACATGATATTATTGCTTTTTACATCCACATTACATGAATATCATGACTGTATAAATTTTCTTGCTATTTTGCTTTTTGATGATCAAAAGCGAAAACCCTCGGCGAAAATGAAACACGCGTGTGCGGAAGTATATATATATACGAGGCCGTCTAAATCGCGTATTTCCATTGACAAGCAGTTTAGACGGAGGCCGTGCTGGCCGTCAAATCGTCCGAGTCCGTCGTCTTCCGCGAGACTCGCTCTCGCCGGGGGAAACTGCTGTGAATAAGACTGATGTGTAATGCCTCCAAAGAAAACGACCGTAAAGAAAGTGTTATCTTAATTCACCAGTCTCGTCAATAAAATCTCTAAGTTCCAAGCTTTTATCTACTCCTCCCCATACAATGTCATCTATGTCGCCGAAACTTGGCTCTCTGACTTTATTTACGACAAAGAGATACTTCCCATTAAATTTAAAATGATAGAGAATCACGTGGAGGAGGAGTGCTCATAGCTGTTAATGAAGATCTACCATGTATTACAATTCCTAATCCTCCCAATTTGGAAGTAATAGCAATCAAACTCTGCCTTCCAGACAAGCAAGTTTCTATTTGTACAGTTATCCCTCTAAATCCCAACATACAATATTTTTAGAATTTGATCAACTTTCTAACATCTCTTGTACTACACGAAACCAATCTTATTATCATCGGTGATTTAAACCTGCCTGATATATGCTGGCCTTCTCTCTCTGGTAGTTCTTTTCTTTCCAATCTGTTCTGCGATTTTGTGTTTGAAACCAACCTTACCCAGTTCATTTCTGGTCCTACACATGTTAAAGGAAATACTTTAGACATTCTTCTTACTAACAATGAATGCCTAGTCACCCAAGTATCCGTGTTAAATTCCCCCTCTGCTCTCTGACTACTATAGAATCTGCTTTCACATCGACAACTACTCTTCATCACCTAAGCGATACGAATCAAAACTAGTGTTCAATTTTGCCAATGCTGATTTTGATGGGCTAAGTGATTTCCTGCTTGATTTAGACTTCAGTTGTTGTCTACAGTCTAGTTCTGTGGAGCTCGTCTGGTCACACCTAAAGAATTCCATACTCAAGGGCATGAACTTATTCATTCCAAAAGTGAAAGTGAAGTATAAGAGATACCCTTGTTGGTTCAATTCCGAGATTAGACACACAATTAAGCGCCTGCGTTCTGCAAAGAAAAAACATTCTTCTCCAACTAAGGTCCATTCTCTTGAAACCTACCTTTCTCAACTCATGGTCAACGCCAAACTGAACTTCGAACACAATCTAGCTTTCCAAACCTCTGATAAGATCTTTAAACATTTGAGAGGCCTATCATCCTCCCGCTCAATACCCTCAATTGTCACACTGGATTCATATAGTGGTTCTGAAAAAGCGTCTCTTTTTAACAACTTCTTCCATTCAGTTTTCACCCAGAGCACCTTTCAGCTATATACCTCCCATAGAAGATTTGCACACCCCTACATCTGCTCTATCTGATATAGGCATTTCAGAACTGGATATGTATGAGGCTTTATTTACTCTTGATACATGAAAGGCCATGGGAATCGGTGGTATTGGTCCTAAGATCCTTAAACGATGTGCTCTTGCACTGTACAAACCCCTTCACCACCTAAGTCTGTCTCAACACTCCCTCCCCTCAGATTGGCGTGCGCACCTGATTATTCCAGTTCTCAAGTCTGGAGACAAGTTATCCATGCAAAACTCTCTTCTTTGCTCAGTCTCCAAAATCCTTGAAAAGCTGATCTATGACCATTCATATCCACATCTATCTCTTCCTGCCAATTTGGTTTTCGTCCAAAGCATTCCTCGACGCAACAACTACTGACCTTCACACCGTTCACACTATTCCAGACACCCACTCGCAAGCTGATGATGTTGTTTACCTCGATTATAGGAAAGCATTTGACAGTGTGCCTCACAATGAACTTGGTCTTTTGGTCTAACAAGAAACATGTGGAAGTGGTTCCGGTCCTATGTACCTGTCTGGTAGATCCCAATGTAAATCAATGCACATCTGACTTACTTCCTGTTATCTCAGGTGTTCCACAAGGTAGTATCCTGGGTCTGCTCCTGTTCCTGATATTCGTCAATGACCTTCCTCCGTCTGTCTGGCATTCCCACATATTCCTTTACGCAGATGAGTCTCAAGAATGCCTCATCTCAATCTGACTCTGATGACCTTTCTAATCTATTTTCCTGGAGCCTTCAGTGGAATTTACACTTCAACGAAAACAAATGTGTTTTACTCTGTCTTTGTCCTAAACACCCCCGTGTCCTCCATGACTACACAATCAATAGCTCACCAATTCAAGTCCTTGATTGTTATCGTGATCTAGGAATCCTGATATCTAGTGACCTGAAATGGGGCAATCACCTGACAATGGTCACTGCTTGGGCCTACAAAGTCTCAGGCCTAATTCAGGGGTCATTCTCCAATGGCGTCAGTATCTTGGCAAAGAAAAGATTGTATTCATCTCTCGTGCGCTCTCAACTTACCTATGCTTCCCAAATCTGGAGACCTCACCTCCAAAGAGATTGTTGCTCTGGAAAGAGTACAACGACGTGCGTCCAAGTTTATCCTCAATGACTATCTCTGACAATACTCCCTCTAATGATGGAATTAGAGCTGCATAACATTCTGTTTTTCATTCAAGGAGCCTGACACATCACAAGCGTTTCAAATTCAATCCTGCATAAACTTTTCCAAGGTATAATACCTGCTGCACTACTCATCTTAAGCTAAAACACTCTTCTTCTAAAACAATTGCAGCTGGCCAGACTCACTCGGCTATGGAAATCTCTCCCTCCGATAAACTTGAAACTATCTCTCCAATCTATCAAGCGTCATCTCATACAATTCTTTTGGAATCACTTCAAAGCCAACTTTCAGAGTACAAATCCATGCACTTTTCACTTTCTTTGCCCATGCGCTAAGTGTTCCAGTACATCAATAACAACCTGTTTCTCTTCAGTTACTACATCTTAGGACACCAGCACTCCCAAACTGGTGTTCCTTCAGTACACTTCTTTATAATTACCATTCATTTCTTATTTATAGCATCCTATTTTAAAGATCGCATTGTGTACTGTAAAGCTTGAAATAATAATAATAATAATATAATAAAAGGTTTTCATTTTAGTTTATTTTTGCATTGTAGAGACGCCTTTCATCAAAGAAGCATCGGATACAGCGAGCTTGAAGTCGTTGCGTGGAGTTCTCAGCGACAGAGCGAGTTTCTCCGCGCGGAAGCTTGCCACATCCCCTATCGAAGACGCCATTTTTGGCGGGCATCTCCGTGGAAACACGCACTTGGAAAACACGTTTTACGCAATCTGATTGATCAACCTAAATCTGCCGACGTCTAAATTGCTATTGATTTTTTCGGTCTCTCCACTCCCCCAAGAGGAGTTCCCTTACTGGCATAAATAGTAGCACAAAACACTGAGGCCTTTAGCTAATACTGTCGCCGGCGCACATAAAAAAAATCTAGGTTATAGCCGCCTACAGAAACAGCCAGCAAGGTGCCTGTAATGTACAACTGTTATATAGTGGTGTAGTCTTTCATGTTCTCAGATAAATACTCTTCTCAAGCATATAGCTAGGTTCAAGTCCAGGTCGGCCTTTGGCAGTGTTGTATGTAGCTATATACTCCCTCTGCAGATCACGTTAAAGTAGGCCATGAGTGACTCTAGGTGATACATAAAATCATGCCATGAGTGGTCTCTGGGCTCTGGTTGCGTAGCTAACTCTGGGCATTTTTATTGGTTTTTGCTATAGTTATACGCTAAGTTCTGAACGACAAGGACAAAGAGCAGCCTAAAATGCTATTTTATAGCAGCTAGCCCATTTCAGACAGGGTTTACACCTTAGTGATTTTCATAGGGCTATGTTATCTATGGTTATAGCATACATGCTGCATTATTATGCAACCAAGTAGCTATAGTGCTTGCACTCATTAATCTCCACAATGAATGTGTGTGATATGATATGCTGTAAGTCAATGAAAATGTGACCTACCATATTTTAATTTTGGAATAGGCATTAGAGGTAACTAAACAACATACTAGTTTCCATGGCAACGACCCCTAAACTCATTAACCATTGTTTGTTTAAAAATTCATCTTTTTATAATTTGCTCATTCTCATTACAATATTATTTTGTAAAAAAGGCTAAGAAGATATTTTGAGTATATTTTACTTCTGTGAATTTTAAGAATTATTTTTATCAAAATTGCATGACATGAATAATGAGAAATTTCAAGCAAACAAGGTGTGGCTTACAATTGAAAATAGCTGTGAGTGTACATAAAGGATTATGCTAAAGATTCAAAGAAGATTTAAACAACGCAAAACACACAGTCATTCTACATTTTCCAGATACACACCCCTCAGTGATTTGCTATAAAAATCCACTGGAGCAACATCTGTCTTCTTTCCCTGTCCGTCTTGCCCCCTAAAGACTGCCCCCACCCCCCAATCCCCATCCACAGTTTCACTCAGTATACACTTAACGTATGTATGGCTTATCGACAGGAACCGCATCGTACGGTTCCCCCCGTGGCTCACACGTCATGCTTGTGTATAATGTGCGTGGGAGCCTGAACGGGGAAGGCCTGGGTTCAGACTGGTCCGTCAGTTGTGCGGTTGATTTGTCTGATGTTTTTGCAACTTATCTTCTTCGTGTTTCCTGTTCAGAGTAGCGTTACCTTGGCTCTAGAGTACCAGGAACCCTACCACCAGATATACCCACCGGTCAACGAGACGGATGGCCGGACACCGCTGTATTTTGCGCTCGTCCTCTCCTTCGGTGGGAGTTACAAGAGCATCGGAGCACTGCCGGGAATCCAGATAGCACTGGACTACATCAACAGTGAACCCTCCATCCTCCCTGGATACAGTCTTCACTACACCCTCACCGACTCCCAGGTATACCTAGCTAGCTACAGAAGCCGCGACTTCATTTGTCGTCCCTCAAATTAGCGAAGGAAAGGACATGTTTCTGCACAAGGTATATATATACCAATAACGCGAGCAACAAATAATTATACCTTCTGTATGGAAGCCAAAAAAATTAGCTTTGCAGTTGGCCTGTGTAATAACGTTGCTGAGCTTGAAACCTATACAGTACACACATAAGCTGTTTCTGCCAATGGAATTAGCAGGATCTGTTACTAACAACGGTTTTTTGGACTTTACATTGCCCCTTTTGTCAACATAAACAAAACCTGCTACATTTAATGAGGTAATAATGACCCTAACTGCAAAACTGTTGGGTACACAGAGTGCCACTAGAGAATTACGCAGAGTGCACCTGAGGGTGGTCAACAACCTAGCTTATGCACACTCTTCTGAGAATGTTTGTAAGTATAGACACTCCCCCTCTCAGCTGTGTCATCTTTCCTCCTGAAGGCTGTAAAACGATTGAAAGTGGTGAATAATAACTATACAAAAGCTATAATTATTATTATACTGGCAAAAACATACAATTCCAAGAACTGAGAAACTATTATGCAACAATTGTGTAATACAGGGTATGAGATACTGCAGACAAGGAAAAGTGATAATCTACATACCTTGCATACCATGCATGCTTGAAAGTCACACACCATTAGCTACGCAACATAATTCATGTCAGGCACTCATAATTTTGCTTTATACAACAATTAATTTCCTTGTTTTCACCTCACTGCAGTGTGACCGCTCCACAGCCATCAGGTCCTACTTTACTCAGATGACAAATCCTCCTACTAAGGTAGGGTGGGTGGGGTCAGGCTGTTCCCCAGCCACAGAGCCCACTGCCGAGCTGACTCAATACCACAACATTACTCAGGTGTGTTGTTCTGTCTATTGATTGTTCCATTCTATTTACACTTCAAAAGAGAGTTTTGACATTATTGCGACTTCAGGTTTCGTGTGTGACATCATCACCAGATCTATACAACCGAGAACAATTCAGGTCCAGGCACTCTTGGTCATGCATGCAATTATATGCACAATGGCTTGAGGTTTGCCTTTTGCATGTTGTAAAAGATTTAACCCCTACCGGCTGAGTTCTCCTGGTAGCTCAGTTGGTAGAGCGGTCCCCTAGACAGCCATGTCGTCTTCCTGTTCCTAGGCCAGCTCTTCCTTTTCCTTCTGTTCTGGGTGTAGTTTGTTCAGTCTTTGCCTTTCTGAGTTGACACATGTTCTCCGAAAAATAATTGACACTGCATGTGCACATTACATTGTACACTTATGCCTGACAACATTAGGTACTACTTTCAGCTGCTTTCACCTGAAGCTCCTGGGGCATACGGATTTTATTCAATCATCAAGTACTTTGGCTGGAGAAAAGTTGGAATCATTACGCAAGGAGAAAATGTGTTCATTGCAGTAAGTTCAGTTATGATGTTTGAGGAAAAAGGAAAAGCACGAGTGTTTGAGGGGATATTATTATAACGTTGAGAATTGTTTTGCTAAAAGCTGAAAAGTTTACTCACAACTGATACATGGTCAAATGTGTGAATGTAAACACAAAAAACATTGTCATAATAATTATTATAGCCTCACGTGATACTCGTGCTCAGCTCAGTTCACAATTAGTCAACAATACCACTCTTCACTATAATATACAATTAAGTTAAAACCCCTTTGGACACCATGGGTCTGCTTAAATAAGCAGAAATTGATATAGAAAATACTTGCGCCAAGTATTATAACCCCCATAATGCACTTATGGATGCTCTGGACACATTTATGGGTCCACGGCTGGCTAAGTGTTAATATTCGATGTGATATTAACAGTCAACGAAGGTGCTGCTGTGGTTGACTTGTTTGCCTTGCCTTGCCTTCTATCTCGTTAACAAGTTGTTGATTATGGTAGACACAGTTCTGCCACTTCAACAATTGTTTGTTTTAGAACCCAGACACTATGCAGAACTGATGCTATAGATTAGTATGTACCATGCATAATAATATGTTTCTATTGACGGTTCCTTCTTTCTACATAGACGGTCAGTTTGTTAAAGATGCTTCTAAATGAAGATAGTGAGGTTGAGTACACAGAGTGGTTTTTCAGGACTGAGCAGAGCATCAACAGTACTGGTGTTTTTGTGAGTGGAAAATTAGAAATTGTTAAAAACATGTTCACATCAGACATACCATCTAACCTTTCTATAAAAGGGCAGCACGGAAGTTGTATACTATAATGTTAAAAAGCACCTTGAGATTTGTGTCGATATGTTACTATTAGGACTCTCAGGTCAGAATTTACATTGTGGAAATGTATAGCCACCGTGCAAGAGAATTGTTTTGTGAGGTATGTGCCATGTGTGTTTCATTTAGAACACTGGTATTATATAGTTTGTTTATATTGTTTTACAGGCATATAAACGTGGACTACTTCCTCCAAAGTACACGTTCATCACTAGTGGGTGGTACAAAGAGAGGTGGTGGGAAGAAGGCTATTCATCAGCTGCGGATTACAACTGCACAGCTGAGGACCTAGCGTCTGTAGCTCTGTATAGTCTGGCCTCAGTGTTACCAGAGTTCCCCGATGAGGATTCTGATACCATAGCCGAACCCAATATTGTAAGTCTGCTGTAGTCCTCTAGCTGCTTCAAATTAACAATAACAGACCCATTTTGTTGTAGAAGAAAAATTTTGCTAGCAAAAGCTTAAAAAAGAGGTCAGTTTAAAACAGATGAATGGCATTGTAGGAGTTAATGCAAGGATTTATTAAGTCTAGCACACAAAATCAAGAATTTTTTATCCATTTACATCACAGCAGCTTCTGTTGCACCAGGGGTAGTGTTTATCTTGGTCACTGCTTGTTACCCCACACAAACACTGACAGTAACCTACCAACAGCTGAGATAGAAAGTATCTAAGTAGGTTCCCCAACTTTTGTTCCAATGCTTCTCTCGTTTTTTGATTACGTGCATTCTATCATTGACCCCAACAAAAATCATACTGTACAATGGCGCTTTACAACAGCAGTCTACATTTCCACTGGCATTTTGTATCATTATGATGTAAGCAGAGCATTTTCGCAAGCATGATAGTTGCTTCCAGTAAAAGGGATGATAGACTGGGTCATTAACACTCGCCGCGCTTGGTCTGCATGTGTGTCTGTCTGTTTGTCTGTCCGTCTGTCAGCAGCTATTCTCGCACTACAGGCTACGAGGTGGCCCATGAGCGATTAATATACCAACGTCTTCAGGACTACGCGAACCTGAAAATAAATTATTTTCCTGAAACGACTGCATCCAAGAGATATGCCGTGAAAACAAGCAAAAAAGCCAATATGCATAATCGCACCAGCTTAACCTTGATTGATCCACTTGCACTTTGTACCTTGCGGAGGCACAAGAAGTCACTACGAAGGTCATGTATCGACTCCCGCATCGGAATGCTATCTTATAGTGTAGCTAGCCCGTGTCAGACTCTCCGCGACCAACTAGTGTGGAGACCACGAGTAAACGTATACTCATGGTTTGCACTTCAGCGCTTTTGATTGGTACATGTCTTAGTTCTGTCCATAATGATTCACCATTCTTATACGCAGACACTTCGTGAATTTAATTCTCTCTACAAAGAAGCAGTCAGGAGTGACTTTAACTTGCTAAACGGATTAATGGAGTACAATAATAAACCATTTACCTATTCTTACCAATGTCATGAAGCAACATTGGCCTTTGCCAATGCCCTAAACAACACAATAGCAGGTTTGTTCTATATTATATTAAACCAGTGTACAGCAATCATCTTTTTATGATGACTGAGAGTAATATCAAAGGAATTCCAGCTAGTCCAAACAACGTAGATGTGTAGTGAGCACTTCCTGCTGAGTTTAGGGTAGTTATACCATAAAGAGGCCGTACGATTTCCCCATACTTTAGCTGTATGTTAACTCATTTGCATAAACCACAGTGGGTATATGGTAGTTAACCCTCGGCGCGCACTCCTCGAGTGTTCGTTCGTCTCACAAAGGATACCACCTACTGAACGGGCAATGAAGGTCAGAAATTTGGAACGGATTTCGCTGAAAACGCTCCGTTGCAAAGCTGGAGGGCGAAAAAGCCAATATGCAAATACACAACGGCTTACTGCGGCATGATCGATCCGCGTGCTCTGCGTACCTCGGAGGCACCAGAAGATGCAGCGCAGGGCGTGTATCGCCTCTCGCATGCTATCTAGTAGTGTAGTTAGCCCGCGTCAGACTCTGCACGAGCTGGCAAGAGACCACGAGTAACAGCTAAAACTAAACCAAGCCCATCAATTAGTGGTACGGCGCATGCGTTTACTTACGCGTGCGCGTCATAATACGCCGAGGGTTTGCACTTCAGTGCTTTTCATTATAATAGTAAGAAATTGGCAGCGTGTAATGCAATTGGGGGGCTTTTACACTCTGTGTGTGCTGCTGTTTCTTTACCAGAAGGGAGTGTTTTCAGGCTAGAATGGCCAGGAAACTGCTCCAGTATATACACTGTCTGAAAACTAGCGAAAGCTGCTTCCCGACGCGTACGCTCCAGTGGACTGAAACATTATTCGGTGACTTTCAGCTTTCTTGCTACTGCAATAGGTTGCATTCTAGGGAGCGCTAGGTATAGCGGGAGAGAAAGCGAGCCAGAGCGGCAGCTACAAAACTTGCGCATGGGGTCTAGCAGCGATAAAGGATAGCTTTGACATACCTGTAGCGTTGAACTCTCGAGAAATGCCCGTGGCTTCAAACCGCCAAACTGGACTAAACTAAAGCGCTTATTGCAGCCGTTAGTGCAGAAACAGCAATCTGTGAAAGTTTGTTTATGAAGTTTTCAGCTGATGGCTATGTGTAAAGTTTTCTTGTTTCCTATTTCACCACAAAATAGACCTTGCTGAGAATGAGACACTAAACAGAGAAGCTGCAGAGGAAAGTGGTCTTCCTGAAGGAGAGACCTTCACAATGGACAACTTCACCTATGCCAACTCAGCAGTTGTGTCTCGGATGTTTGAACACCTCCAGAACACCATGTTTCCTGGAATAAGTGTTGGTTTATATACCCTTTAGTTAAGACTATATACACAGATATCGCTGTATTCATTGGTCTATCCACCCTCTTTAGCAATTTCAAAAGCTGCTATGCCTAAATAATTATTTCCACTTTGTTGCAGCAAAAGTATTTTGAAATGTGGACACTAGATAAGAATGAAAAATGAATATGGTCCAAAGTCATAATATCTATCTTGAGCCTTTTGTACAAGGATCGCCTGAATAGTGTGTGGTAGCTATTTTGCAGGATATTTAGTTTAAAGTTTTCAGATTTGCCATTTTCAGATTTTCCCCACAATCATACAATATCCCATGTTTCCTCTGACAAAACAAAACAAGGTTAATTCAGAAAAATAATAGTCAACCTCGGAACTGATAGTTAACAAATTTTTAACTAGCTATGTAATTATACTGTCCATACTGGTGGGTAACAAATTTTTTTTGACAAACTTGTGAACTGTAGCTATGTGGGTATTGTAGCCTATATGAAAGTGCTGAATGTTAATATTTTAATTCAAACAGGCATTTTATATGAGACACTGTTGTACCCTCTAAATGCATTCATAATTTTCATCGTGCTACAATATTCCTGGATCAAAAAAGTTTGAAATGCGGAATCGTGTTAACGTAGGGTGAACATTAGAGACTATAATCACGACTGCCAACCGGCTGTAAATAGTAATTAACCCTCAGCGCGCATGCGCAGCGAGGGTTACGGTACATGGTCCGTAAGTGTGTCTGTCTGTCTGGCTCTCTGTCTATCTTTCTGTCCGTCTGTTACCATGTTTTCTGCAACCACGCGCAACGAGACAACGAAAGAGCGATACCAAGAGGTTCAGCACTACACCGGCTTGATTTTAAAATCGGCGATTTTATTAAAAGCAATGTGTTTGAGAGTTATGGTGTGAAAACAATCCAATATGCTATTTTTCCTCCACCAGATTTTGTTGCTGTTTGTGTATATACTGCGGAGGCATGCCATTAATGGAAGACGAGTGTAGAGTGCAGCGAAACCTAAACGCTAAGTATTACTAGCTGAGAGGGTATAACCGCGGGTAATTACACTGATCCCTCGTAAGTTACACTTGTGCGCGTGTTTGTGATTCGCATGCGTATGCATCGAGCATGCGTAAACACTGAGCTCAGTGTGGCTTCATTCGTCGTTGTCACGTGGAAAGCTACCCGTATAACGGATGCCAACTCTTAGCAAAGGTCTGCGTTAGCACAGATGAACGCTAGCGTTTTACAAAGCCTTTTTCCCTCACCCCTTCAGAGCACGCGTGCACACGCAGGCATTAGCTAACAGCCCTTGTTCCCAGGTCTAACTTTGTTAATCAGTATCTCTGACTTTTCAGGCTTGAGCCATTCATTCGTGATGGTGATACTCTTAGTCCGAACCAAATTGTTGTATGATTTGTCTGATTTACGCGTGATCATGGTTGTGGTGTGTACTTGTGATTTGATGAGGTGATGACGGTTTCTGTTGTTCTTCGATTTTCATGTTCCTAGGCTTTAGAACGTGTTCACTCATTTATTATCATTTCAGGACTGCTTTACAAAGCCAGTGTGGGTCTTCTAAACGTGTTCATTGGCCTAGAGTCACACACTCTGATTGTGACAAATAATATTGCTAGGCTAAGCTATGGTGATTAACACATAGCTACACATAGCCAAACCCACATGCATTGTATCACGCCCCCGAGGGTTTTGTACATTAGTGCTTAAATTGCAATTATGTTAGCTATGATCTTTTATAAAGGGTAATGATGTAAAATTCAATGAGCAGGGTACCAGAATCATCAATAAACTCCGGATATACCAGTATCAGAGAAATCAAGAAGGTAAGTTACATAAACTAATTATCATTATTTTAATAACAATTCTCTCTATTATAGGTTCGAAGGCAGACATGGTCCGCTCAGAAGTGGGCGAAGTGCTTCTAACTGGAAATTCTACATTTCATCCCTTTCCAAGTGCATTATCTTTTCCAGGTAGGTGTGTAGCCAGTACTTTCTTCTCCTCCATTTTACCTTTTCCTACAGAGGGTATACCTAATGACGGGATACCAATTGAGGATGTAGTGACAGTCTCAGTGGCTCTGACAGTGGTGTATGTCATTCTGGCCACCGCTGGACTAGTGTTTGCTGTGGGATGTCTACTCTTTAACATCATTTTTCGCCAGAGAAGGTGTAATAATTGTCTGAAGACACAGGGATTTTTTTTACCATTAGCGAAGGGTGCAGTGTAAAATGTGATTCCAAAATCAGTCATCAAGCTGACTTACATCTTGATATTGTATAGTGGACCTCAAAAATATGACCAACCACTGAAATTTTTCTTTATATCTACTCATGCCATGTTTCACTTACTGGGTCTACAGATTGGTTCGACTCTCCAGTTCTAATCTCAACTACCTGATTGGACTGGGAGCTATAGTTCTCTACGTCAATGTCATCACTCTCGTCATTCCCACCACAAACGCAGACTTTGCTGCTATACTGTGCAATGTAAGTAATCAGCAGACCTACTTGAACATTGTTATCCTTTTTATTTGCTCAGACCAATCCTTGGTTGGTATCAGTGGGCTACTCTTTGTGTTACGGGACTATGATTATCAAAATGATCAGGGTCTGGGTCATTTTCAATAACATACTGGAACTAAAAGCAGTAAGTATATCTGATATCTACGTATACTGTATATGTTCATTGTTACTTTGTGCACATAAGGAAGGTCTTTAGCTTGCCATAGCAGGTAAGATTGAAGCTATTTCGGTCCATAGACCTTCCTCTGCTATCTATAACTGAAAAATGCACGTAATCAGAATGGATATGTTAGCTAGGTAAGTAGTGAAGGTAGCTAATGATGACGTCATGTGACGATGGTAAATTTGCATCAAGGGAGTCCAGTAACAGAGAAACCAATCCAGATTTGGAGTTCCACCATATACCTGCTGATCTCAAGAGCTTCCAATGTTTTCCTCTTTCAGTCCCCTTTAGCTTTCTCCCATTCTAATCTGTTACCTTTGCATGCTTAGCTTTATCGTCTGCCCTTGCATATCTTTAGACTCTTTCAAGTCAAACCCACTACAATGCCCTGTTGCAGAAAGCATATACTGTCACCACACCTTTCATCATAATATAGGTCCTAGGTACTTCACACTTTTTAAGGTCTGAGATAGCCTTTAGATCCACTTACACCAACTTGTGTAATAAGAGCCATTTGCCATAGTGGCTGTCAGCAGGTGTGATTTATCAGCTCTTTTTATGCGACTGGTCCCTGACACTCTTGAATCAGGCATGCTCTTTCTACGAAGGAGAGACGTACCGCTGGATTCAGTCTTTACGGAGAATGTTGATAATCAGTCAATAAGTCTTTCTGCAATATACATTTACATTACAGTAACGACGTAAATTTTTGCCCGGCTGCAGCTCAGGTGGAATTGCATCCTCTTCAATATTCCTCTGCACCCACTGCTCCGAGACAACCTGCTGGGACTGTTCATTCTATGTCTGACCATCATAGACGTTTTTATATTGCTACTGTTCACTGTGACTGAGGGAGTGAGAGGCAACCTTGGAGTAAAACTCACCACTAACCAAGAGCTACCTGAAGAGACCATTGGTGTAATTTTTTTGATGTATGATGTTTAAATTACAGCCAATATTTATGATTCTCTTATACTTCAGGCAACCGCAGAATATCACAAGTACTTTCTCTATGTCTGTGAATCTGAGGGGCAAGTTGTCCTCTACGCAATTCTGTTCGGATACAAAGGCATTCTGCAAATTCTGGCTCTGCTCCTGGCTTTCCGTACTCGCAACGTGAAGGTGAAGGGTCTGGATGACTCTGTGTACATTGCTGCCTCTGTGTACGTCACAAGTATTGTGTTGACTGTCATCATTGTCTCCACCTATACTCTGAGGGACTATGTGAATGCCTACCCAGCTGTGGTGGGAATGGGGTTACTGCTGGGAACCACCATGATCCTCGGACTTGTCTTCATACCAAGGGTACAGTTGTTACAAACTCTTCGCTAATATGCAGTTACTCAGTTTTGTCTTAGTGCGCGAGGATGGAACATTGGTGCATTACGTAATCGAGATCATTATCACTCCATCTAATTAATATAACTGCATAATGCAATATTATAGTGCTGAATGCGACCTCGGCCAATGGGGATTATAGAAACGGTCACCCTGACGTTAACTGTCATTCCTCTCCCTCACTACTCAATGAGAAACAACGATGACACGCTTATCAAGGCTGCACCAGCTCAGTTTTTCTTCATAATATTATACTTAATGACCTTTTTTCAATGCATTAACAACTTAATGCGCACTTCTCAAACAATATTAAGCGCCATGCATGTGACAAAATAGAAGGATGTGATTGGCAAACCCAGCCCTATGTTAAAGACCATTCCTTAGTTTGCTAATTTCTGAGAAAGTTGTCTCTATCTCTTGCAATGTAGATGGTAGGGCTCTACAAAGACCCCAAAGGAGATACAATCAATACAGTTAGAACAAGGGAAGACAGGTCTCAGAACTTTGGAAGAAGTAGCAATGATAGAGAGCTGAAGACACTTCGTCGCAGGGTTACTGAAACTGAAATAACCCTCAAAAACATGTAAGCAGCTAGCTACTCTGTTTATTATAGAGAGAAACTTGCACTAATGCATTCTGTTACTATAGGAATCTGAGACTTCTCTCTCAACGTCTTCCTAGTGTTGTGGAGGGAGCTGAAGAAGCTGGTCATTACTCTAACTAGCAGCAATAGAAAAAAACAGGAATGTCAATAAACATATTTCAGCACTAACAACTGTCACTCTCAAAAAAGCATTTTCTACATCACAATTGTTATGGCGGTGTTAAAAAGTCATTGATAATTCTTTCGAGTAGCTAACGTTGTAAAATAAAAACACTCAAGAAACACGTAAGCAGCTAGCTACTCTCAGAAAAACTCGCACACAGGTGTTGAATTTGGGATTTCTCTCTCAACCGTCTTTCTTATAATATCTGATTCGATATCTGTGAGTTTGGACAAGTTGCTGAACGCTAAAGAACGAAATGCTTTGTATTTTGGGCATGCGCAATGAGGTAGTCTAGAACCCCTGTCGTGATTAATGCGCCAGAGTGATGACGCAAAGTAGTTGCAGCATACACCACAATTGGCCGCGGGGAAGACCTTTGGCTATCCTAGGATAAGTGTAACAAAACTCCCCATTCCTGCAGGTAACCGCATAATATTACAGCGTCTCATTGTCCGCTAACCACGAAAGGATGAGAACCATCCTCAGTTCGCAAGGTTCCGGCATTATTTCTGCATGGTTCTTTGTGCCAGATATAGCCGTTGAGACGAATTCGTTTCACCAGTGGTTGTATCTTCAGGTAGTACCTGCCGGTCAACGATACACATGCGAATGGAATTTCCATGCATTAGTGATGTCGACATCTGGGAATGAATTTCATCATTACCCCCTGGACACAGAGTAGATTTGCCAAAGGAGACTAAAAGAAGACAACATTAGAAGCTCTTGAGATCAGTGAAACTATGATACCAATCTGTTGCTTGCGCTGGTACTGGATGCCAATTTATATACAACCTTACACCACGTCATCATAATGTGATTTTAGCTATATACCTTCACTACTTACCTAGCCACAAATGTAATTATCCATTCTTTTTACGTGCATTTTTTTCAGTCACAGCATATTATGAAGGTTATGGACAGAAATATCTTGCAACTTTCTTCTAGTTACTCTTTGGATGCCGTGGGTATCTCCTTAAATAAGCAGAAATTGATGTATAACAAATTAACGCCTAGTATTATAGCCATAATTATATAAATTCTTATGGACTCCTGGCACATGTATATACCCGTGGCTGGCTAATGGTTAACTGCTATGACGAGCTAAAGAACTTCCTTGTACAATAATGACACTGAACATATACAGTAGGCTTAGGTTATACTTAGCTACTGTCTTCAGGTAGGTCTGCTGATCACTTACATTGCAGAGTACAGCAGCAAAGTGTATGTTTGTGGTGGCAGTGTGCGAATAAAGTCCTTGGGCATAGATATGGACCTATGTACTAGTGATTTTTGAAGGCATAGTGAGTTGTTCCCGCCGAGTTTTGATGCTTCTTTGCACGCGGATCACGTGAGATTTTAACTGCGCAATCCCGCGTCTTGTCACACTAGTGGGCGTGCAGGTTGTTGCAGAGTATAAAGTCTGCAAGCCTGAACCCATTTTCATTGACGCGTCTGCAGCCAGCTGAGGTTTTTTTGGAAGAATGTATTGGAACGTTGGCTGTCTCTTTTTTTGGGCCTTAGCTATTCCATTATCGTCGTCCACTGAGGGGCCCTACCACCAGATCTATCCTCCACTAAACGGTACGGACGACCGCACGCCCCTGTTCATCTCAGTTGTCCTCGCTTTCGGCGGGGAACGTGTGAGCCACGGAGCACTGCCGGGAGTTCAGATAGCACTGGACTACATCAACAGGGAACCCTCCATCCTCCCTGGATACAGTCTTCACTATACCCTCACCCACTCCGAGGTTAGCGAAATTAATGGTATGGCAAAAAAGAAGACAAAAAAGTTTTGTTGCCTGAGAGTGTTGTTGTTTTTTGTGTTGCATTCATACCAGAGAGTATACTTTGTGTCTAATGAGGTTGATTTTGGGTAAGACACCTATAGTGATAAGATACCTGTGGTTAGGTGGCTGACTTCTAACCAAGAACCTTCCGTTAACAGTACGCACAGACCGGGGCGTCCAGAAGCGACGATCATGAGTGGAGACTGCTCAGACCTCGCCCTGACTCCAACACTTACGATGCTGCTAATAGTAGTGATTCTCTGTAATCGTCGACGAAGACGTCGACAGTGCCCAGTACCCAGTGTGGAATCGGGAGGCCTCTCCCCAGGCTATCGTCGAAAAGTTGAGACGCCGCCGCCGCTAATAGTCACCAGCGTGACACAATCGTGGAATTGGCTTGGTATATAGAACTCGGATATCCGAGAACCCTCCTCTGCGGTGCTTTCCTCAAAGAGCTGCTATATACCAACCAAGGTTGAACGCGGACGAGCTACAGCCATATATACGTCTATCCATAATTTTCTTAACAACTAAGACGGCAAATTCTCGTGCCTTCGAGGTTCTACCGCCTTTGTGGTTGGCTGAATGACGCAATAACTCCGCCATGGTTACTATTGCGTCATTCCAGCCTCCCACGCGGGCTTTAGAAACACGAAGACACTCGAGTTTGCCGTCTTACCTATACAAAGCTCTTTGTTTTCCAATGGTGGGTATGCACAACTTTAGTGACATAAACATCACATATTTTCTAAATACTTTGCACAATTATTGAGGTATTCTGTGGTCAGATAATGTTTCAGTGACCTGCTGAGCCTAGTTTTGGACTAAGTGACAGTACACTGTAGGATTCTTTTCAACTGAAAGTGAGGTTTGTAAGGATTGTTTGCACACAAGATACGTATGCAGTTGCACATTCGGTTACTATACTGTAAAGCCTGGCGGCCATTATATTTAGCATTTTACTCGGACTCCACATATTGGCGGCCATTAATATTAGCGTTTTGTAAGTTGTGGTTAACTTTGACCCCTTATAGAAACAATTTTGGCGGACCAACGCCAAATTTGCTAAATTTAATGGAATGCGAATATTTCCATACCGCGCCGTCACGTAGCCACGCCTTAATTCCGCCGTCGTAGCCGGCCCCCCTCATGCCGCGCCGCTGACCTGACAATCAACGACCTAAGCATGCTTGATCCTTGCTATCGGTTTGAAGCCTTGGCAGCATCAGTTACACGATTGTTTAGGCGCTTTACTCCAACAGCTGACTTAGACGCTATATAATTAGCTATACTGATGGAGTTCCGTGAGTATCAGTCGTTACCAGATCCAGCATGCAAATCATTAGATGATTTTTGGGCCTCTGTTGGAGATTTACCCAAGCCTGCTGGTGAGGTTGGTGAGAATCATTTAACTGGATTCTGTAAGACTTTGCTCGTTTTGCCACATTCTACAGCCGATCCCAAGCGCCTCTTCAGTATGATTGGTAAAGTCGACACATAATTATATCTCAGTGAAGTAGTTTGCTTCCATCTACAGTATGTAACATTTTGAGCGCAAAGATAAATCGCGATCAGGAGTGCAAATGAACTTGTTACACCGGATCTAATTGCCCAAGCCAAAAGTGCCACAACACGAAGCCTATGAAACTTAACTTCAATGCAATGTATACTTAATGTATATAGCTAGATGATCATGATCTTATTGGCTGTATATCTGCAGTAGTAATGTAATTACTCTAAATAATTATTAATTAATTAAAAATCAAGCAAAAATGTGAAATATCAAGCAATTTTGTGCCAGATGTCAAGTAAATTATTTGGAGGTGGTTGGTAGGTATGTGAGCGCTTCCTGCTGAGTTTACGGGTAGTTAACCCTCGGCGCGCATGCGCAGCGAGGGTTACTGTAGTCGTTCTGTGTGTACGTGTCTGTCTAGTCTGTCTGTGTTCTGTCTGTCTACGACTATTCTCGCACTACAGGCAACAAGGCGGCTTATGAGCGATACCAACAGCTTTAGCAGTACATGGGCTAGAAAATTTAAATGCCGATTTTGCTGAAACGACAGCATTCGAGAGCGACAAACTGGCACGGTCGCGGACAGCGTTGCGTGGCCCAACCCATCAATAAGCGGTGCGCATGCGTGTATTAGACGCAGTATGCTGGCTCAGCACCACGACTTGCTCTGTGTAGTATATACCTTGGAGGCACAGTCCGAGTGTCATCATACAAACACGTTATACGACGGCTTTGCTTGTGGTTTACTGGTTGCACACTCGTGGCTTCAGTTTTGATAGGCCACTCGGGCTGTGCCCTTGTGCCCTATCAAAACTGGCCACTCGTGTACAACCAGTAAACCACGCGCCGCCATCATATCAGAGCGTCGGTAGACGCTCTATATAGGGATGACACGAGTGAAATCTCACGTGATCCGCGTACAAAACGCCTCAAAACTCAGCGAGAATGACTCACCATGGCTTCAAAATCACTAGCAATAGTCAAGAGGCCAATACCTAGCTATACATATGCCCCAAGACTTCCTACGTGCCCTCAGTTCCCCACGAGAGAATTCGCTCTTACGCGATTTCGCGATTTTCGTGTCATCATCATCATAATTATTCTTCATCTTCTTCTTCTTCTTCTTCAGACCCGCTAGCTCCTTACCGGAAGCAGTTGAAGCGTTGATTTTTTTCACAGAACGTCTCCAAATGTTCCGGAGGTGTGCACGCATGTCAAGCGATCGCTTGTTTCTTGCCGCAAGTCACTACGGTAGACCGTTGAGCTCTTCCACGGTAGTCACTGGACAACGCCATTTTCTGCTAACTCAGCATAAGTGAGCCGCATGCGCCGAGGAGGGCGTTTCCCCAACCAATGCAATGCGCGCGCATTACTAGCATGCGTGAACCAGACTAAGCCAGGATGCCTGCAGAGGAACTCTTATCCCCCAGTGCCTTCTGTAAGTCAGTATACACATTTTTAACTGGCTAGCTTGCGTTTTGCTGCTGATTTGTACGAGGAGCAACTTGGCAGTGTGCGCCGTGTTACGCGGGCCTTGCCCAGCGCCTTCATTGTTTGTCCCCCAGGTTATAGCTATCATTGTAGTCTGATTACTGAAGCCTGCCTATGAAACCACCCCACCATTATGTGCCACCATCGTTGTTGGAGACACTACGCATACACCCTGCTTCAGGTAGGAGCAGCCCATTAGCTTCTGCTTTCAACAGTTATCCCCATGAACATAAGAGTGACTGAAAATGCAGTGTTGTCATAAGGCATGAAAAATAGTGAAAACAAGTGGAAAAATCATTTCTTCAAAATGAAGGGGGATATAGGGATGGCTTGAAGCACCAAAAAGGAAGAAACAAGGGGTCATTACACAGCAAAGATGCACAAGGCTACATGACACCATCCCTATATCTTTGACTCATATTAAACTTTACTTGAGAACAATAATACAAAGATATAGGGATGGTGTCATGTAACCTTGTGCATCTTTGCTGTGTAATGACCCCTTGTTTCTTCCTTTTTGGTGCTTCAAGCCATCCCTATATCCCCCTTCATTTTGAAGAAATGATTTTTCCATTTGTAACCTATACTTAGACCATCCCTGTATGCCTCTTATTTGAATTCGCAGGATTTTGTATTGACTTAGGAAAGGGGCTTGTCGGTTAAATTACCAAACACCCCCACGCAAACTTTTGCATAGTGGACCGCGGTAATACAGTAATTCTGCCTCTTCAAATTTCACTGAATTATATACAATTTGCAACGTTGCGCTGTTGCCAGCAGTCTAACAAACCTTTAGTATCCCACCTATGGTTTAGTCTACAGAAAGCGCTACCACCTGTAGCTTATACCGGACTTATGTAGTCATGGAGCTAGTCACTGCAGTCACACATAAATGGTTGTGGACGAAGTAATACAATATGCCAAGCACTCACCACCAGTAAATGAATAGCTAGCTACCTTTTGTAAAAGCTAATGCATCCTGACAGTTTTTGTGCACCTTTTGCATCTTGTGCAGTGTAATAGGGTGGCAGCCTTGAGGTCTTACTTCAGCCAGTTGAAGAATCCTCCAACCAAGATAGGGTGGGTGGGGTCAGGCTGTTCACCAGCTACAGAGCCCACTGCCGAGCTGACTCATTTCTACAACATCACACAGGTAATGAGCAGAGTTTTCTCCACATAATTGTAGTTTCATTTTTGTTTTTTCCCAGTTATCATGCGTGAGTTCTTCACCCGAGCTTCAAAACCGAGAGAGATTTCCGTAGGTTGCTTGACTGTAGCACCAGCTTTGATAACTTAAATATAATTTCAGTGCATGCATCCATGTGTAACACACCTTGTGGCAGAGAGCAGGTCGCATGATGTAGTGCCTTTGTTATCATGCTTGAATACATGAACTATGATACAACAGTGCATGCAGTACGAGTTTTAAGGCTTTTTAGATTCCAATGATGTGACTTTTTTTTAACTTTAAAATGCTTTTATGTTGTGTTTCATCTCAATCAACATAAATAGGTATTATTTTCAGCTGTTAGCAACAAATGTGCTTCCAGCTCATGGTTTCTATGGCATTATTCAACATTTTGGATGGAAGAGAATAGGTCTAATAGTCCAGGATGAAAAACTCTACACAGCAGTAAGTCAGCATAGCTGCAAAAAAATTAATTCCCAATACTGTGATCAGACCGTCGATATCTTGAAGAAGATGTTAGACGAGAATGCAGAAGTTGATTATACTGAAATTCGCTTCAGAAGTGACAAGGGGTTTGGAAGTGTCAAAGCGTTCGTAAGTTCGAGTTTGCCTTTGGGGGTGCCAAGTGTGTTGGCTCTTACATAAGCCTTTTCCTTTTCTGTGTCTCAAAATTCTCTGCTTAATTAAAACTCATTGAGGTCCAAAGCACCTCGAAGGGGAAATTTACGTCACTAAAACGCTATGGTAAAACAATGGAAAAAAACGTGCAATAAAGAAAGAATAGCAAGGGTAGGATTCGAACTTCAGTTCAGTTTATGCAAAAATGACACTAAACATATTTGGAATAACTTTTTGCTCAAAAATTTGATATCTCTAGTCATATGACGTATATAGTATTAAACAAACTGTGTTAACCATTGATATCCTCACGCTAAGGACAAAAGTATTAGAATATATGTGCTGGCAATGTACAGTCTACATGCTCTGGATGCTGCTTGCGAGGTAAATCATGATATCATTACTATGCTGCCATTATGTTGATTAAGTGTTTCTCGTGATGAAGGCATACAGAAGAGGTTTCCATTATCCTAAGTATGTCATCATAACTTTTGGCTGGTATGTGAGACAGTGGTGGGAGATGGATGCACCATCCACCAACTGCACTGCTGAGGAAAGAGCCCAGGTCCTTCTTTATAGCATGGCTGCTGTTCCATCTCAGTTCCCTAGAGAGGGCGACGAGTACAAAGCAGAACCAAACACAGTGAGACTTGTTCTGTTTTAAGAAGATTGTGTTAGATGCTTATGCATTCTCAGACCCTATCAGAATTTAACTCACTCTACCATGATGTTGTGAAGAGGGAGATTAACAGCCAAAATAACTTGCAAAACTACTCTGACTATATTTTCCCCTATGCCTACCAGTGCAATGAGGCTACTCTTGCCTTTGCTTATGCGCTGAACAGAACAATAGCTGGTAAAGTTTTAAAACTAAAGAAGGAGCATGTTGTCAAAATACCGCTTTTGATCTCCCAGATCTTGCTGTGAATGAGACACTAAACAGAGAAGCTGCAGAGGAAAGTGGTCTTCCTGAAGGAGAGACCTTCACAATGGCCAACTTCACCTATGCCAACTCAGCAGTTGTGTCTCGGATGTTTGAGCACCTCCAGAACACCACGTTCCCTGGAATTACAGTGAGCCAAAGCGTTTAGCTTTTGTTCCTGAGTAGCAAAAATGTGTTATTTTCTTAAAGGGAAATGTTGTCAGATTCAATAACCATGGAACTCGTGAAATTGAGACAGTTAGAATACTTCAGTACCAAGGAAAAGGTCAGAATTCCCTACACACTGATTGGTTGAACCATACCTATACACGTTCCTACGGAAGCCCTACTATGGAAGCCCTGGATGGCCCTTGCCTTCCGTACGCTCCAGCCCAGTTCCAAGCACACTACTTTCATTTTTACTGGAGGGGATAAGCTATCCTTAGTATAGCAAATTGTGAATGCTATAGCTAACTGCTGTTATACATGCAAACACTTAAGTGTATAGTAACTACAAGCGAAAAATTCTTCAAATGAAGGGGATATAGGGATGGCTCGAAGCACCAAAAAGGAAGAGACAAGAGTCGTTATATAGCTACCAAGCAAAGATACACAAAGATACATGACACCATCCCTTATATCAATAAAACAAATACATTATAGGGATGGTGTCATGTATCTTTGCTGGGATATGGCCCCTTGTCTATTACTTTTTGGTGCTTCAAGCCATCCCTACATCCCCCTTTATTTTGAAGAAATGATTTTTCCACTTGTTTTCACTATTATTTAATGAACAGCTATGACAACACAGCATTTTCTATTACTGTCACTCTGATTTGCATGGGTATGTCGTATGGTTGATCATGGGATGAGTGAATTCTATCTTGTTGAAAGCAGTAGCCACGGGTGCTTATGCCTGAAGCAGGGGGAAGTAGACAGAGATTGTCTATTGTCTCCAATGACGTAATTAGGTTGTGAACAGGATTGTAGTTTCATTGGCAGGCTCTGCAATCAGACTGTATCCAATGTAATAGCTACAAGCTTGGACAAAAACGGCGGATGGAAGTGTAACTATACGCTAGCGAAGTTGCTCCAGTGCAAACCAACAGGTTGCTTGTTGAAAATGTGTAGACCAAGATTACTTACAGAAGGCTTTGACACTGAGAGTTCCGCATGTCTGTCAACAACCCCCTGGACATTCGACAACGACAACCACCAGGTGAATGCGAGCTTGATACTGCGTGCATCAGGACAATCCCCCTTGCTCGGTGCATGCTGCTCTCTGCTTGCTGAGTTAGCAGCGAATGGCGTCGTTCAGTGTCTCCCATGGAAGAGCGCCACAATGTACAGCAGTGACTTGCGACAAAAAAGCGATAGCTTGTTATCCATGCAACCTGACGAATTTGGAGACGTTCAGTGAAAAAATCAGTGCATCAACTTGTTCCAGTAAGGAGAAAGCGGGTCTAAAGATGAAGAAGAAAAAGATGCGATGGCACAATTACCGTGAAATTGCGTATGAGCTAATTCTCGCGTGGAGTACTAAAGGTATGTGTGAGTCCTTAATGGTAGATGTATAGCTAGATATTGGCCCGTAGACTATTGCTAGTGTGTTTTGAAGGTCTATGAGTTATTAGGTGTTGTGTACGCAGATCACATGAGGTTTGACCAGTGCCATCCCTATAGAGAGTGTCTACCGATAATAGTGTGTTCATAGCTATAAGTTACTTTTTACAGCACTTCTTTTTAAATTAAAGGGTTCGAAGGAATTGAGCGTGTTGAAGTAGGTGCAGTTACTGGTGTTGGAGTAGACAACACATTTCTAGCCAACAACATTTCTTTTTTCTTTCCTGGTGAGACTACAATACTCATGCGGCCACACTGTTAAAGTGTTGTTACAGACGGTGTTCCTATTGACGGAGTGCCAATTGAGGAGGTGGTCACAGTCTCCATGGGTCTTACAGTTGTCTACATGATTCTTGCTGCAGCTGGACTTGTCTTTACCACCACTTGTCTTGTTTTCATGTTCTACTTTCGAAAAAGGAGGTATAATAATATGAACAGTAACGTGGAGCTAGGCTGCTAACGAAGAGAGAGAAAACTCAAAAAATTGCACACACTATAAGTGACACCTTTGTTTATAACCTATAGGCTATTCTTTGTCAATCTCTTTCTGTAGGTTGATTCGACTCTCCAGCCCCAACCTCAATTACATTATTGGACTAGGAGCTATAGTTCTCTACTTGAATGTCATAGTTCTAGTTATTCCCGCTAAAAGTGAAAACGTTGCTACAGTGATTTGCAATGTAAGTATGATATGAGTATATTAAACTACCTCTGAAAAAGGTATTTTCGATGTCTCCAAGGTGTCCATTATTAGGAAAAATATCACTAATTGGTTACTCTGCCACACAGACAAATCCATGGCTGATTTCACTGGGATACTCACTGTGTTACGGCATTATTATTATAAAAATGATACGAGTGTGGGTACTGTTTAACCGACCATTTGGATTTAAGACTGTAAGTGTTTATAATATGTCCACTATGGTTAATTAATTAACTCTCCTTTTGATAGTCCCTATTCAAGGACTATCTGATGGCGCTGTTTGTCCTGTCTCTGGCCATCATTGATGTAGTCATTCTCCTAACATACACTGCGACTGAGGCTGTGAGAGACAACCTTGGTGTGAAACTCACAGCAAACCGAGAACTACCTGGGGAGACTTTTGGAGTAAGAGCTAAAGAAATTCTTGGCATAATTTAACCTACTTTGTCAAAACATTTGTAAATGCTTGTATCGTTACGAAAGGTCATTACTGTCACATTAGAAGCCAACTTGGTTTCTTATAATCTGCATCACAAGCTAGCATTAAGTCAACAAAAGCCTATTTAATAGCGTAGACGTAATGAATATCACCTACTGATGACTACACTATGCTAGTGGTGAAGCTGTTTCATTGTTGGTTAGTTTACAGAACCAGAGGCGACAAAAACCCACAGCTTGCGTCCACCCCCTTTGCATACTTCCTTTGAAAATACCTCTAACGGTGTATAATCTGCCTCTCTGTAGCAGGAGAATGCTCAGTTTGCTAGTCGCAATTCATCATTCAGATGTACAGGCAACTTGCCTGATTTAGGTTCTAGTAAGAGAAAATGTTGGACCAATGTTTTGCTATTGCGGATAATACACTGAAAGCAAGCAGGGAATAGCTGTAGCTAGAAGATGGTCCAACAGTGAGACTAGGACATGTAAGTCTAACTGACTTCAGAGCTTCTGTACAAATAATATCGCATGACAAACAGCAAAGAAAGATTTCAATGCATCATCGGACATCCTTAGCTGTCCGTGCAAGAGCTTATCCGACATTACCCTTACATGGAACTCTATTGATGTAATGATAATTTCATTAGGCAACAGCAGAGTATCACAAATACTTTCTCTATGTCTGTGAATCTGATGGGCAAGTCGTCCTCTACGCAATTCTGTTTGGATACAAAGGCATTCTGCAAGTCCTGTCTCTGCTCCTGGCTTTTCGTACTCGCAATGTGAAGGTGAAGGGTCTGGATGACTCTGTGTACATTGCTGCCTCTGTGTACGTCACAAGTATTGTGTTGACTGTCATCATTGTCTCCACCTACACTCTGAGGGACTATGTGAATGCCTACCCAGTTGTGGTGGGAATGGGATTACTGCTGGGAACCACCATGATCCTCGGACTTGTCTTCATACCCAGAGTAAGGCTTCTGAAAAAAATAAATAACCATTGATTTTTTTATCAATAGATGGTGGGGCTTTACAAAGACCCAAAAGGAGAAACAGTCAGTACATTTGCAACATCAGGTCAAAATGATGAAGCTGAGCAGACTAAATCAGGCGGTGATATGGAGAACGAACTAAAGAAACTTCGTTGTAGGGTCATTGAGCTTGAAACAACCATAAAAAGTCACGTAAGTTCTTCTTCACAGCTAGGTGGATACCATGGCCTAGCTATTTCAGAACAGCTATCATTTGAGTGTGTTTTCTAGGCATTTCTTGTCCCTATACTTTTCTTGCCATTAATAATATTTTATTGCAGTGTTTTTGTACACAGGCCCCGGGGGGTCTTGATTTGTCAACGTGAAGAGGCTGTCAATGAAGAAAGCAACAACTGAAGACATGTGCAGTTTATAATCAAACTACTTTTTGTAGACAAAGTAGAACTACGTAATAATGTTAAAGTAGAACTGCGTTAAAAAATGAGTAGAACAGCCTAATAATTATGTCTTTTTGTGCCTACCACATTAAAGGTTGGCCTAGTAGACTACTACTTTGCAGACATTTCTTACCAAAGATGAAAGGCACTGAAGTGCTAACCCTCGGCGCAGTGGGCGTGATACACATGCTTAAGTACATGTACATAGTACTAAGCTGCTACATGTCATCATGGGTTGGCAACATCAGCAGTAGCGTAGGAAGACGGTCAGACAAGGGGGGCTCCAGTGCGCATGCGTAAAAAACGTACGCTCCGCGCGATCGCTGTCACACTCGCTCACTTTCTACGCGCAAGCCCGAGAAAATATAGGGGGGCGCCAGCCCTTGGAGCCCCCGTGGTTCCTACGCCACTGATCAGTAGGTTAGCAATGGTAGATCCTTGCTCACCCTGTGCACATTCTGAATGGTGTGGGGGAGGAGCAGGATATTAACATTTTCTTAGACGGCAGGCTGTCCCTCAGCAGGTCACCTGCAATGCTTTTCTACGCAGACTGCTGCAAAGTGTAGATGTGGATGACGCATATACCTCTTTTTGAAAGTGTACTATTTAACATTGCAACTATTGTACCGATACTTTTGAACAAGACTGCATCCATCAGGAAGCCAGCACTACCCCTTCTTGTAAGCAACCTCCACTGGTAGTAGAACACTTGATGGTGGGTACGGCGACGTATTAAGAACCTGATACATATCGAATCATAACCTTAGTGTAATAAGGCTTCTAGGACTACATCTAGTTCACAAATCAAATATTTCCTCCCAAGTCTGCTCAAGAATAGAGAGTCATTTTGTGCTGAACAGTGCATGTTAGAGTCAATTGTAGTTGTTTTGTAGTTTTGTAAATGGCTATATAGCTAACAGGTACTTGTAGGTAAAAGTTGAATGAGACACAGTGACACACCTGCACACTCATATTTTGTTGTGACATGTTGCTCTCTTGGATCTCTCTGGAGAAAACTATGGTTGCTGTGTTAGCATGGCAGGGAGATCCCCTGGGGTTTCCCCAAAAACAAAGCTACCCTTGCACTGTGTCGCTGACAAAATATACATACATGTAGCGTGCCGGCTCAAGAGCGCGCGCCGCCAGGGAAATGCGCGCGCCGTCGTGATCACGTCATATGCGCTGCATCATCGCTATAATTATATATCTGGATGGCGCGCGGCGTTGGGGGACGTGCCGACTTCCGAGCTCAGCCTAAGAGCATACATACCACCCTGCAGATAAAGCTTTGCTTGAGAGATTTGGATGCTGTGGGTCTAATCAGAATGTATGGGCATGATCCATCACATCAAACGGGGATTTATCAAGGAAAAATCTGGATGGTTGGTAGGTATGTAAGAGCATGGCGAATGCAGGGCATTTTTGGCGAGCGAGAGCACTCCACGAGCCATCCTAGCTTATTAAAAGGTTAGTAATATCTCTCCATTTAGCATCAGCAATTGCTGCTGAAATAGCACGTCTATCAAGCAACTCTGGCACCCTATTACTATATTATACACTAATTTGGTGCACTTTTTTGGTGCACTCTACGGAGCCATTCTGCCACGCTAATGTACTGTAATCTATGAGCCATTCTGGCACGCCAGTGTACTGTAGTCTACGGATCCATTCTGGCACGCTAGCCTACTGTAATCTATACGCCATTCTGGCACGCCAGTGTACTGCAATCTATGAGCCATTCTGGCACGCTAGTGTACTGTAATCTTATGAGCCATTCTGGCACGCTAGTGTACTGCAATCTATGAGCCATTCTGGCACGCCAGTGTACTGCAATCTACGGAGCCATTCTGGCACGCTAGTGTACTGTAATCTTATGAGCCATTCTGGCACGCTAGCCTACTGCAATCTATGAGCCATTCTGGCACGCTAGCCTATGTATCTATGAGCCATTCTGGCACGCTAGTGTACTGCAATCTATGAGCCATTCTGGCACGCCAGTGTACTGTATCTACGGAGCCATTCTGGCACGCTAGTGTACTGTAATCTATGAGCCATTCTGGCACGCTAATGTACTGTAATCTACGGAGCCATTCTGGCACGCCAGTGTACTGCAATCTACGGAGCCATTCTGGCACGCTAGCCTACTGTAATCTATGAGCCATTCTGGCACGCTAGTGTACTGCAATCTATGAGCCATTCTGGCACGCTAGTGTACTGTAATCTATGAGCCATTCTGGCACGCCAGTGTACTGCAATCTACGGAGCCATTCTGGCACGCTAGTGTACTGTAATCTATGAGCCATTCTGGCACGCTAGCCTACTGCAATCTATGAGCCATTCTGGCACGCTAGTGTACTGCAATCTATGAGCCATTCTGGCACGCCAGTGTACTGCAATCTACGGAGCCATTCTGGCACGCCAGTGTACTGCAATCTACGAGCCATTCTTGCACGCCAGTGTACTGCAATCTACGGAGCCATTCTGGCACGCTAGTGTACTGTAATCTTATAAGCCATTCTGGCACGCTAGCCTACTGTAATCTATGAGCCATTCTGGCACGCTAGTGTACTGTAATCTTATGAGCCATTCTGGCACGCTAGCCTACTGTAATCTATGAGCCATTCTGGCACGCTAGTGTACTGCAATCAATGAGCCATTCTGGCACGCTAGTGTACTGTAGTCTACGGAGCCATTCTGGCACGCTAGCCTACTGTAATCTATGAGCCATTCTGGCACGCTAATGTACTGTAATCTACGGAGCCATTCTGGCACGCCAGTGTACTGCAATCTACGGAGCCATTCTGGCACGCTAGTGTACTGTAATCTTATGAGCCATTCTGGCACGCTAGCCTACTGCAATCTATGAGCCATTCTGGCACGCCAGTGTACTGCAATCTACGGAGCCATTCTGGCACGCTAGTGTACTGTAATCTTATAAGCCATTCTGGCACGCTAGTGTACTGTAATCTTATGAGCCATTCTGGCACGCTAGCCTACTTAATCTATGACCATTCTGGCACGCTAGTGTACTGTAATCTTATGAGCCATTCTGGCACGCTAGCTACTGTAATCTATGAGCCATTCTGGCACGCTAGTTCTGTAATCTATGAGCCATTCTGGCACGCTAGTGTACTGTAGATCTTATGAGCCATTCTGGCACGCTAGCCTACTGCAATCTATGAGCCATTCTGGCACGCTAGCCTACTGCAATCTATGAGCCATTCTGGCACCGCTAGTGTATCTAGAGCATTCTGGCACGCTAGTCTATGATCTGAGCCATTTCTGGCACGCTAGTGCTACTGTAATCTACGAGCCATTCTGGCACGCTAGTGTACTGTAATCTTATAAGCCATTCTGGCACGCTAGCCTACTGTAATCTATGAGCCATTCTGGCACGCTAGTGTACTGTAATCTTATGAGCCATTCTGGCACGCTAGCCTACTGTAATCTATGAGCCATTCTGGCACGCTAGTGTACTTGCAATCAATGAGCCATTCTGGCACGCTAATGTACTGTAGTCTTACGGAGCCATTCTGGCACGCTAGCCTACTGTAATCTATGAGCCATTCTGGCACGCTAGTGTACTGCAATCTTATGAGCCATCTGGCACGCTAGCCTACTGCAATCTATCGAGCCATTCTGGCACGCCAGTGTACTGCAATCTATGAGCCATTCTGGCACGCTAGCCTACTGTAATCTATGAGCCATTCTGGCACGCTAGTGTTACTGCCAATCTACGGAGCCATTCTGGCACGCTAGTGTACTGTAATCTTATAGCCATTTCTGGCACGCTAGTGTACTGTAATCTTATAAGCCATTCTGGCACGCTAGCCTACTGTAATCTATGAGCCATTCTGGCACGCTAGTGTACTGTAATCTTATGAGCCATTCTGGCACGCTAGCCTACTGTAATCTTATGAGCCATTCTGGCACGCTAGCTACTGTAATCTATGAGCCATTCTGGCCACCGCTAGTGT